TGGATGTCATCTCATTCTGTACCGGAAATGTCCGCATAAACCTTCATCTTATGTTCTCCAGAGCCGGCCAAGTCTGACATTTGCATCAATATTGTAATAAGCAATGAGTGGAGGAATCCGGAGCAGGATTTGGGCGAAGGGTTAACAATTGAAATGCGTTGTGAAATAACAGACAATGGGAGGCAATTACTAGATACACAAAACCCTGACATCTCCATCCGGGCAGAAAGAGATAATGAGCCGCGTCCTCAGGAAACCTCCAGGTCCGTCTTTTCCTCAGGAAACCTGGACGCCGGTCATTTCTGTGGATTGAAATGCAATAGAATAGAATAGACTATCAAGTAGCAATATAATAGAATAGAATAGAATATCACGTAACAATATAATAGAATAGAATATCATAGAATAGAATAGAATAGACAAGAATATCACGTAACAATATAATAGATTAGAATAGAATATCATGTAACAATATAATAGAATAGAATAGAATAGACAAGAATATCACGTAACAATATAATAGAATAGAATAGAATAGAATATCATAGAATAGAATAGAATAGACAAGAATATCACGTAACAATATAATAGAATAGAATAGAATATCACGTAACAATATAATAGAATAGAATAGAAGAATAGACAAGAATTTCACGTAACATGATATAAAGATACATAGAAGCGTTCATAGTTCCTGTCTGCAGGATCTACAAATTGTCATGGATGGATCAGGAATGAAGTACGCGCCCCGGATTGCCCGATATACTTAAAGGCTGGCCTGTGGGTGGACATGGGTGCAGCTGGGATGCAATAGATCCAGGCATGGCTAGATAATTAATGGGTGGAGCCAAAAATCTCTTTGGAAACTGATCCAGCAAGTTCCGTACACGAGATCCCGCTACAAGACGCCATAATCGCCCGGATCGGAGAATAATAATAATATCTTCATCACCCGCCTCCCTCTGGATAGAGAATGTAGCTGGTAAAGAGAAAATCTGCTAATGAAAATATGGCACAGCGGGTCTATAACGTCCCCCTTCTGAGTCCCCCATCCCCCCTCTGACCACCATCCATTGGTTCCGCCCCCTACCTACCTCCCAGTCCCGCCCCTCTTAGACAATACAGAATCAAGTATCATTTTGTGGTGCTAAATAATTTGTATGGATAACAAGAAAAAAGCAATAAAATAGATCCCCTGCAGTCAGCAACAATAGATCCCCCACACTACAACAGATTACCAGCAACAGTGGACCCCAACACAGTAGCAATATTCCCCCCCCCAGCAAAAATGGACAACACTCCAGAAACAATAGTATCACTGCAGGAACAATAGACCCCACCACAGGAACAATAGATTACCAGCAACAATGGACCCCACCCCAGCAACAACAGTTACCCCCCCCCCCCAGCAAAAATAGACCCCACTCCAGAAACAATAGTTTTCCTGCATGAACAAAAGACCCCACTCCAGCAACTATAGACCCCACCACAGAAACAATAGATCCCCTGCACAACAATAGACCCCTCACACAGCAACATTGGACCACCCACAACTAAAAACCATCCCCAGCAATAAAAAATCCAGCCCAGCAACATTAGACCCCCCAGCAGCAACAACAGATCTCCCAGCAGCCATCATCAATAGACCCTCCAGCACACCCCAGCACTCCTTGCCATTACATACAATCAGTGCTGGAGGTGCCCCACGTTCCCCCGCGTTCCCTTACGTTCCCCCGCGTTCCCCCGCGTTCCCCCGCGTTCCCCCGCGTTCCCCCGCGTTCCCCCGCATTCCCCCGCGTTCCCCCGCGTACCCACTGACGTGAAGCCCTTACTTTATGTGTAATGACGTATGTGCACAGTGAATATATCTTCCTATGATGTATCTCTGGGCAGAAACATTTTTTTTTGTTTTGCATGGAGCGGGGAGGGGCTAGACACTTCCTCAAGTTTTTATTGCTGTCCGTGTCCCCATTTGGCTGATTCACCCCCTCCACTTGTCCTGGTGATTCCTCCCAGAGGGGTACAATTCTTCACAATGACTCCAACAATGGGACGTGATTATTTCCAGTGACACCAATAATGGGGCACAATTCCTCCCAATGCCACCAATGATGGGACATGAATGTACCTAAGGACATCTACGAAGGGGCACAATTCCTCCCAAAGACACCAAAGATGGAACACAATTCCCTCCAATCACACCAATGATGGAGCATGATTCTCCCAATGACACTAACAATGGAGCCCAATGACACCAACAATGGAGCACAATTCCTCCCAATGACACCCACGACGACGACGCACAATTCCTCCCAATGACACCAACGATGGGCCACTGTTCCTCTGAATGACACCAACAATGGAGCCCAATGACACAAATGATGGGGCACAATTCTTCACAATGACACCAACAATGGAGCATGATTCTTTCTAATGACACCAACAATGGAGCACAATTCCTCCCAATGACACCAACGATGGGCCACTGTTCCTCTGAATGACACCAACAATGGAGCCCAATGACACAAATGATGGGGCACAATTCTTCACAATGACACCAACAATGGGACGTGATTATTTCCAGTGACAACAATAATGGGACACAATTCCTTCCAATACCACCAATGATGGGGCATGAATCTACCTAAGGACACTTATGAAGGGGCACAATTCCTCCCAAGGACACCAACAATGGAGCATGATTCTTTCTAATGACACCAACAATGGAACACAATTCCTTCCAATCACACCAACAATGGGGCATGATTCTTCCCAATGACACCAACGATGGGGCGCAATTCTCCCTATGACACCAACAATGGGGCATGATTCTTCCCAACGATACCAACGATGGGGCACAATCCTCCCTATGACACCAACAATGGGGCTACCTCTGGCACTTACATTCCAAAGCACACAGCCAGCAGGGGACACAATTCAGGATCAGCATTCACAAGTTCACAGCACAGCTGCCTCCTCCAAGATCCTTCGGGACATGATACAGTGATGGAGACAACCCATCTCCAGGCCAGATCTCTTATGGTAGAGTCCCACCACCAGCTCCTCAAAAACATCCCTTCAGGCTCCCAGCTCTGCCACACCAAAGACCTTAAAAATCAGCTACATAGTCCATAGACTGCCTCAGGGGGCCTCGGGGGGCCTCTGGGGGCCTCGGGGGGCCAACAGTGCCAGAGGTTTCAGAACCCTTCCTGACAAGGAAAGAACAATCTCTCCAGTGTCTCAGACTATTTATCACCCCCCCAGCCACATTCTGGGCACCCTTCAGGGACTGGCAAGGGCATGATAAATATTCAGACTGGCCTCTGAGGTGGCTGTTCTTGCTGCCCCCCGAGTTGGCTGTTCTTGCTGCCCCCCGAGTTGGCTGTTCTTGCTGCCCCCCAAGTTAGCTGTTCTTGCTGCCCTCTGAGGTGGCTGTTCTTGCTGCCCCCCAAGTTGGCTGTTCTTGCTGCCCCCCCGAGTTGGCTGTTCTTGCTGCCCCCCAAGTTAGCTGTTCTTGCTGCCCTCTGAGGTGGCTGTTCTTGCTGCCCCCCGAGTTGGCTGTTCTTGCTGCCCCCCAAGTTGGCTGTTCTTGCTGCCCCCCAAGTTAGCTGTTCTTGCTGCCCTCTGAGGTGGCTGTTCTTGCTTGCCCCCCCCAAGTTGGCTGTTCTTGCTGTCCCCTGAGGTGCATGTTCTTGCTGCCCCCCCCCCCCCCCGAGGTGGCTGTTCTTGCTGCCCCCTGAGGTGGCTCTTCTTGCTGCCCCCCGAGGTGGCTGTTCTTGCTGCCCCCCGAGTTGTCTGTTCTTGCTGCCCCCGAGTTGGCTGTTCTTGCTGCCCCCCAAGTTAGCTGTTCTTGCTGCCCTCTGAGGTGGCTGTTCTTGCTGCCCCCTGAGGTGGCTGTTCTTGCTGCCCCCTGAGGTGGCTGTTCTTGCTGCCCCCTGAGGTGGCTGTTCTTGCTGCCCCCCCCGAGGTGGCTGTTCTTGCTGCCCCCTGAGGTGGCTCTTCTTGCTGCCTCCTGGAAACATTCAAAACTGGGAACATCTCTGCTTCATTACTCCCTCTGGGTTGCTAGGATACTGCCACAGGAGCCAATGACACACAGACCCAGCTGCCATCCTCCTAGCAACAAAAGATGCTATACAACTGTGTCATCGGTTGCTAGGATGCAGTCACCTGACCATAACAACTAATCAGTCCTGGGAAAAGGTCATCCAGAGCCCAGGGCGAATGTGCCAAATTGCCCCCCCCCCAGGTGTATGTGCATTGTGTGTCAGCAACCCCCCCCCCCTCAAAAAAAAAAGATATTGAGCATTAACCTGCTTGGACCTCCCTCATCCCGTTATAACTCCATGCCCCTGATGAAATCCCCCTCCTAGCACAAATCCCTTCCCCCCTCTATCCACTACCTCTACCTTTTCTAGCACAACCCCCCAAATCCCCCCCTCCTAGCACAAATCCTCTTCCCCCATCCCCCCTCCCAACACAAATCCCCCAAATCACTACTCCTAGCACCCCCCCCCCCCCCCCCAATTTCCCCTCCTAGAACAATTCTTACCTCCTGCTGCCCCCCAAATTCCCCCTCCCAACACTAATTCTCTCCCCCCCAATCTCCTTGTGGTGCCCCCCACGTCAGTGCCCAGGGCAGCCGCCCCTCCTGCCCACCCCCCTTGTCCCGGTCCTGCAACTAATGATGCTGTGCAGCCCAGCCTCCAACTAGCTGCCTGTAGACATCATTGACCTGCACTGAGGATGGAGTGTCCAGTATGGACTCTGTGGCCTCCGCGCCACTCCCCACCTCCCCACTTGAGGTTGTTGCTGGACTTCTCACTGGCTCCACCCCCTTGTCTGTGTGTTGATATGATGTCAGGAGCTCATTGGCCCATTCTAGAGATCTAACACTTCTATCCACCAATATCTGTGACAACGTTCACTCAGAGCTGCTTCAAACCGACTCTACAGATCTGGCTGCAATACTCACCTTCCCTCCAGCGCTGTCCCCATAGTCTCATTGCCCCATGGCCCAATACCAATCCACCTCCAGCCTGGATCATCCACCATTCAGCCCACTTCTGGTGACCCCAGGGTGTCGGGGAACCACCCACTGAGGTTGTGTCATGAACAGGGGCGGACTGACAACTCATGGGGCCCCCAGGCTTTAGGGGATCATGGGGCCCCTGTGTCCTTGCCCAGATCACTCCCAATGAGAGATAAAGAGGACCTGTCATGTCACATGACCATGGACATCAGAATAAAAGGGAACGTAGAAAAAAGTGCTGGTGGCAGTGGTGGGGTGGGGGAGGTAGGTACCCAGGAAATGGGGGAAGTGGTCTGGTGACCTACAAACATTGGGTTGGGACTGAAGTGATGGGAATGTACTATCTGGGAGAAGAGAAGGAGGGTGGTTGGAAGCAGGGGTGTACTGACAACTCATGGGGCCCCTGGGCAATAGGGGATCATGGGGCCCCTGTGTCCTTGCCCAAACTCAAAAAAGCCTATGAAAAAGGTACCAGGGGCATCTCATGGGGCCCCCTACTGACCCCGGGCCCTCATGGAGCTGGCTTTATGGAGAATGTCCTTGTAGTCGGATTTATCTGTCGGAATATTTCCTCTCTTCCAGGTTCTGCCGATTAAAGTCCTTCATTCTTTCCTGTTTATGATTCGTCATCTATTTATGTCCTCAGATATGGACTGAGGACCTCAGCGGCCTCCAGACATCTGCCTTGTGTTTGGTGAGCCCTAATCTCCTATTTCCATATCTTCTGACCTTCCACCATCCATTTCACAGGAATGTTCTCAGTGGGCAGAATAATGCAATCGGCTCATTACGGGGCCCCGGGATCCATAGTCTTCGAGGGCTGAAACCTCCGGCATCAGCAACATCTTTGTTCACCATAACGTCCTTCCATTGCTACAAGTCTGATCCGTGACTCTGCTGAGCCCCTGCAAGGGAATCCCTGTACGGCGACTGGCACATAGAGATGAGCTCGGGCACATGAGCATAGACTGCATGCAAGAATGCGCACACATGGGAGCACGCACGCGGGAGCACACACACGGGAGCGCACACACGGGAGCGCACACACACACACGGGAGCGTGCACACGGGAGCACACACACAGGAGCACACACACGGGAGCGCACACACGGGAGCGCACACACGGGAGCACACACATGGGAGCACACACACGGGAGCGCACACACGGGAGCGCACACACGGGAGCGCACACACGGGAGCACACACACACGGGAGCGCACACACGGGAGCACATACACACAAGGGAGCGCACACATGGGAGCGCACACACACATGGGAGCACACACACGGGAGCGCACACACGGGAGCGCACACACGGGAGCGCACACACACACATGGGAGCAAGCACGCGGGAGCACACACACGGGAGCACACACGGGAGCGCACACACAGGAGCAAGCACGCGGGAGCACACACACACGGGAGCACACACACGGGAGCGCACACACACACACACACACACATGGGAGCGCACACACAGGAGCACACACACACGGGAGCGCAGAGACGGGAGCGCACAGACGGGAGCACACACACACGGGAGCACACACACAGGAGCACATACACACACGGGAGCGCACACACGGGAGCAAACACATGGGAGCACACACATGGGAGCACACACGCGGGAGCGCACACACGGGAGTGCACACACGGGAGCGCACACACGGGAACGCACACACGGGAGCACACACACACGGGAGCACGCGCACGGGAGCGCGCACACGGGAGCACGCACACGGGAGCGCGCACACGGGAGCACATACACACAAGGGAGCGCACACATGGGAGCGCACACATGGGAGCACACACATGGGAGCGCACACGCGGGAGCGCACACACGGGAGCGCACACACGGGAGCGCACACACGGGAGCACACACACATGGGAGCGCACACACGGGAGCGCACACACGGGAGCACACACGCGGGAGCGCATACACGGGAGCGCACACACGGGAGCGCACACACGGGAGCACACACACACGGGAGTGCACACACGGGAGCACATACACACAAGGGAGCGCACACATGGGAGCGCACACACACATGGGAGCACACACACTGGAGCGCACACACGGGAGCGCACACACGGGAGCACACACACACACGGGAGCACGCACGCGGGAGCATGCACATAGGAGCACACATGCAGGAGCGAGCTCACTGTTGCTGGCACCAGACAGACTATTTAAAGGAGGCTCCTACTCTCTGTCAGTGCTGACTGGTCTTCAGCTAATTCCCTGTGTCCTGCTGTATCCGGTGTGTATCCGGTACTGACCCGACTTGCCATTGACCTGCTCTTGGATTCTGCTTATGATTCTGCTCATCGGTTTCTGATCCTGGCTTCCTCCTGACCTCGTCCCTGTCTGATGTTCCGGTACCTCATCGCTCATTGCTGACCCTGACTATTACTCTGACTACGCTTCCGGCTCCAGTTTGGCTCTACAGTCCTGCAGAGTACTTGTCCTGGCTATCCGTGATATCAGCTCCGGTTGTCACGGTGTGTTCTGGCCTCCCGCCTATCAGAAGTTCCGGCAAGCCATGTACCCAGATCTTGCAGTTCCAGTGGGGCGCTTCCTTAACCTCAGCTGGCCGTTCCGGCATCTCCTCTGTTCCTGACTGGATGCCATGCTTGATTTACCGAGGTCACACCTCCAGCCACATGTTCCACAATCAGTATCCACAGGCACTCGTGTTTCTTCTGTCCCTCGTGTATCTCCTGTCCCTCGTGTTTCTCCTTTTCCCCGTTTCTCCTGTCCCTCGTGTTTCTCTTGTCCCTCGTGTTTCTCCTGTCCCTCGTGTATCTCCTGTCCCTCGTGTTTCTCCTGTCCCTCGTGTATCTCCTGTCCCTCGTGTTTTCTCCTGTCCCTCGTGTTTCTCTTGTCCCTCATGTTTCTCTTGTTCCTCGTGTTTCTCTTGTCCCTCGTGTTTCTCTTGTTCCTCGTGTTTCTCCTTTTCCTCGTTTCTCTTGTCCCTCGTGTTTCTCCTGTCCCTCGTGTTTCTCCTGTCCCTCGTGTATCTCCTGTTCCTCGTGTTTCTCCTGTCCCTCGTGTTTCTCCTGTCCCTCGTGTTTTCTCCTGTCCCCCGTGTTTCTCTTGTCCCTCGTGTTTCTCTTGTTCCTCGTGTTTCTCCTGTCCCTCGTGTTTCTCCTGTCCCTCGTGTTTCTCTTGTTCCTCGTGTATCTCCTGTCCCTCGTGTTTTCTCCTGTCCCTCGTGTTTCTCTTGTTCCTCGTGTTTCTCCTGTCCCTCGTGTTTCTCCTGTCCCTCATGTATCTCCTGTCCCTCGTGTTTCTCCTTTTCCCCGTTTCTCCTGTCCCTCGTGTTTCTCCTGTCCCTCGTGTTTCTCCTGTCCCTCGTGTATCTCCTGTTCCTCGTGTTTCTCCTGTCCCTCGTGTTTCTCCTGTCCCTCGTGTTTCTCCTGTCCCTCGTGTTTCTCCTGTCCCCCGTGTTTCTCCTGTCCCTCGTGTTTCTCTTGTTCCTCGTGTTTCTCCTGTCCCTCGTGTTTCTCTTGTCCCTCGTGTTTCTCTTGTCCCTCGTGTTTCTCTTGTCCCTCGTGTTTCTCTTGTCCCTCGTGTTTCTCTTGTCCCTCATGTGTTTCTCTTGTCCCTCGTGTTTCTCCTGTCCCTCGTGTTTCTCCTGTCCCTCGTGTATCTCCTGTCCCTCGTGTTTCTCCTGTCCCTCGTGTTTCTCCTGTCCCTCGTGTTTCTCCTGTCCCTCGTGTTTCTCCTGTCCCTCGTGTTTCTCCTGTCCCTCGTGTATCTCCTGTCCCTCGTGTTTCTCCTTTTCCCCGTTTCTCCTGTCCCTCGTGTTTCTCCTGTCCCTCGTGTATCTCCTGTCCCTCGTGTTTCTCTTGTCCCTCGTGTTTCTCTTGTTCCTCGTGTTTCTCCTGTCCCTCGTGTTTCTCCTGTCCCTCGTGTTTCTCCTGTCCCTCGTGTTTCTCCTGTCCCTCGTGTATCTCCTGTCCCTCGTGTTTCTCCTTTTCCCCGTTTCTCCTGTCCCTCGTGTTTCTCCTGTCCCTCGTGTTTCTCCTGTCCCTCACCACCATCTGTTCCATCTTCAGTGGGGCCTGGGTTGGACATACCAGAGAGGTCGACCTCGTCTGTCAGCTACGTGTAGCCCCTCTAGATAGCCAGGGGAAGCTAGTGTTCAGTTTTCAGTAACGAGGGCTGAGTAGCAGTCTGGGTGTAATAGCAGGGTACAATTGGGGTCAGAGCTGAGAAGCTCTGCAGGTCAGTTCCTTGACACCTTTCCCTGCTCTAGAGTCTTGGAGAAGATTCTAGAAGCAGTGGGCGGGGGGTGTGAGGAGGGGCTAGCCTGCACATTAAGGGGACCCTGGTCAATCCCCAAGTAGGAGGCTTAGCATGGGGCCAGAGCAGCCCTTTAATGTGCTAGAGCCTGTTCAGCAGCAGGAGAGTTCGGGTGGAAGATGGACTGAGAAGGTTGAGGGGCAGGAGCCTGGGAGGGGGGCCAGTTCGGAAGGGGCTCATCTCAAGGCAGTGGTGCTGGAAAGAAGAATGCTTAGACCCCCAGAGCAAGGACCACCTGTGCAGCAGGGAAGGAGCCAGCCCAGTGGAAGGCCTGAAAGCAGCTACCAACCCACCAGCTTATAGGAACATGACTGAGGGAGTAATCCTGCACCCCCTGGGACAGTTTAAGGGGAAAGGAACACTCTGGTGGGACATCTGATTAGCTCCTTACTCAGGACTGTCACCTTAGAGAGGCAGGCATAGGATCCCCTTACCCTGGGATTCCTCCAGACATCTGGATAGAGGAGGATTATCTGGGGTGGAACACCAGGAGAGGCTGGAGAGCTCTTCAAGAAGAGATTCTGCTGTGTAAACACTTGTTATAGTTCCAGGAACTTGTCCTCAGTTGCATTTCCCTTGGGAATCCCATACACCCCCCTCCCCATCCATGTTCAATTCCCATAATAAAACCAAAAACCCAAGCCCAAGGACTGGCTACCGTCTCCTGGATGCAATTCAGTGAGCAATGCGTGTTGCCTGGCTGTGCAGGACTACAGGGGGACCCAGATCTTCAGCAACTCCTGGGGGGGTAGTGCTACAACT